GTTCATAACAATGCAAACCAAAGTTGTTGGATTTGACCTTATCAAAGAGCTGTATCAGGATGATCCTAATTTCTGATAAGCATGGGAAGTGATTAAAGAACAACCTTTCCATTACTACTCCAGGCATAAAGGGCTCTTATTTCATGAAAAGACCTTATGTATTCCTCAGTGTTTATTATAGGAAGCAATAATTTGGGAAGAGCATGACAATGGATTAGCCAAATATTTTAGACAGGATAAAACAGTTGACCTAGTAAAGGAGAACTTTTACTAGCCTTGACTTGAACAAGATGTCAACAGGCATATGCAGAGATGCAGAATTTTTCCCTTGGCCAAGTTCATAGGTTATACATGCATTTATCGGTTCCAAAAATAGCTTGGGAAGATGTAAGCATGGATTTTATCCTTGGCTGATCCCATACTCAGAGATAAAAAGACTTTGTAATGGTTGTTGTGGATCGTTTATAAAAAATGGCCCATTTTGTTCCCTGTCAAAAGACTAATAATGCTTTTCAAGTTACTAACCTTTACTTTAAAGAGATTGTCTAACTCCATGGCATTCCTAAAATGATCACATCTAATTGTAATGTTAAGTTTCTCAATCACTTTTGGAAGACACTATGGAAAAAGATGGAGACTAAGCATCAGTTTAGCAGTGCTAGTTATCCCAAATGGACGGTCAAACTGAAACTATAAACAGGGTTCTTGGCAATCATTTTTACAATTTCATGGGAAAGAATTTGAAGCAGCAAGACTTCATCCTTGCTCAAGTTGAATTTACATACAATAACTCTGTCAGCCAAGCAATTGAGAAGTGTCCATTTGAAATTATTTATGGCACTTGTCCCCTTAGTCTATTAGACTTAACACCTTCACTTGACAAGTAACAAGATAGTTCTAATTAGGGGTGTTCATGGGTAAGGTCAAATCGGGCTAACAATGAACCCGAAGCCAATCTTAAAAGTGGAAGGGCTATGTTTGTTAGCCTAATGCTTGAACATGCCTGAAGATTGCTCGAGATTTCCAAGGTTAGGCACCAGGGTAGGGTCGGGCTAATAAGTATGTCCAATCCATCCTCTAAATTCCTTTTCTTTTTTCAAAGAAGTTTAGTTCTTTGGGCCTAAAACCATTAGACCAAAATCATATAAATGGATAAAAAAATAGATTTAAGCTATGCATATACTTGCAACTGAACTTGGAGGAGAAGTAAAAAATTTAAATAAAAAAGCAAACAATGATCTTAAAAAACTAACAAAAATATGATCCTAGAAGCAAAAAAATTATAAAATTAGATTTTGGAAGGAAAAAAATCAAATGAAGGAAAAATTTTAACTACAAATCAAACTTAAATACAAAAAAAATGAAAGAAAAATCAAACTTAGAAGCAAAATATATATAACCAAAATCAGACCTAAAAGCTAAAACTATATAACCATAATAAAATCATCCATAAACTCAAACCAACTTCAAGTACAATCATAAATTCTTGCATAGCTAGTTTGTTTCCAGTATGATTGTTGCCATTTTTGACATTAATAGATAGGACTAGCATGACAAGTTCCTTAGTTTCAAAAATTTCTTAGATGTGCTTGTATAAGGGAACTCTTTTTGCTCCTACACATACTTAGTGAAACTCCAAAAATTGATTTAGCCATAATACTCCCAATACTGTCAAAATATAGTCCTCCATTAATAGAAGAGGATCTACTCAATCAGCATGAAGAATAAGAAGAACACATGCAAAGGTCGGCTTCTTTAAATAGTAAAGCATCTAATTGGTCTAAAAAAGTAAAATAATACTAACTAGTAAGGCCAATGGTAACAGAAAAGGCAATACCCACAAACTGATGAAGAGATAAAGATGATGACACCCACAAAGTCATGAACTAGAGATAGCGATGAATCTAAGTGGAGATAGAGATCTAAGATGGTGATTAGCTAACGACATCGTTACGCCCGAATCTAGTAGAGACGAATAGTGACTAAGAGACTAAGGGTGAGAATGAGAATGAGAGCATTTAAGGAGAATTTGCAATGGAGTGGAGTGGAGGAAAATTATGGCACAAATGAAGGGATAGGGATGGTGAAATGGCTAATAAATAAATGAGTAAAAAAAGTAAAATTTAACCCCACCACATCTCCCAAAAAGGCACAGCATACTCTTATCTATTTTTTGGTATTTTATTACCTACGGTCAAGTTGAGCATGATTGTCCAACACCTTAACCCTAGCCCTAGCCTTGCCTGATGATTAAACCCGGCCTAACCATGCTCGAAAAACTTTGGCCATCTTTTTCTTCTATTAGGTTAGGAATTTTTTTGGTTTGGTCAAGTTGGGTGGACTAGGTTTTCGGGCACCCTAAATAGCCCTAATTCTAATGCAAATCAAAGGGTTAAGGAAATTAAGAAGTTGCATGAACAAGTTTGTGAATGAATACAGAAGCAGAACTTGAGATACAAAACTCAATGAAACAAGCATCGGAAATATCAAACTTTTAACATGGAAGACTTGGTTTAGATACATCTGAGAAAGGAACGTTTTTCTAAACAACCAAATGCAAAGCTGTCCTCAAAAGCTAATGGTCCATTTAAGATTATGCAAAAAATCAACAACAATGCTTATAAGGTGAAATTACCTGGTTCTTATGGAGTGTCTACCACCTTTAATATTGTTAATCTATCTCCTTACATTGATGATAATGCCAAACTTGACTCGAGGGCAAGTTCCATAGAACTCAGGGAAACAGAATGACAGTAGCAGTGAATGGGTAAGGAAATAGTCATCCATTCACGTCAGTTGCAACAGTTGCAAGACCACCAATAACTAAAATAAAAACACATTTATAACCTGCCAATTGCCATTTATTTTCTAGCTATCAATTTAAGCATCAAAGTAGTATAAATAGGAGTCATTGTTTCCTTGTAAGCATGGAAGATTGAAAGCAATAAACTAGAGTTTGTTTCCCATTTGGTTTCTGAACCATTGTCCCAACTTTAATTATTTAGAATTCAAAATATACTTTTTAAAAGTTTTGGGTTCAAATCGCCACTAGATCTATAGCTTAAGGTTCCAATTGTATATTAACCTTTTTTATATTTTATATACACACGCATGACTTTTTTCACCATTACTCGCACAAAGAACATCATCAATCAATACATGAAAGAAAAACTACTTTAGAGGGAAATAACGCACTCCTATATCAACATCATAAACTCAATAAAAGCAGAGTCATGTTGTAGAATATTTCCTTTGAATAGCCTATATGGATCATGATTGGGCCGGTTCTATGCCAAGATCAACACGTAATATATCTATTACTTGAATAGCTATCCTTTTCCATTAATTACTTGCCTTTGTTACACACATGAAAAACAATTTGCAATATGCTTTGATTGTTACATGTCCCACAATTGGGAACATCATACATCAAACTCTGAAAATTAAAGATGTTTCGAGTGAAGGTGCTGTGATCAGCATGTGTCAAGATCCTGATCCCGCGCTTCACGTACATTTGTTTGTGTTCATATCAGTGTCGGCACGCATGTCATCGTCAAAAAAAGAAAAAAGAAAAAAAAAAAACAAAATTATCAGATATCTTCGACAACATCAGTCCCATCACGTATTGGGTGTGATACAAGTGTTTGATGTTAATGTGTTCGGCTAGAGTGAATTAAAATATATATATTGAGCCAAGGTTCATAATATTAGAAGTTGGTGAGAAATTTGATCTACATATATATGATTAGCTGTGTTATGTCGGTGAGATCATAGGTTTAATATAATTGCACGTTAAGGTCATTTTCTTATTTAATGTTAATCCAAAAACTAAGAGTTAATTAGTGTGTTTAGAGTTTAGATTTTGGGGTATTCAAATGGGGTTTTAGTAAAAACAGAAATAATACGTTGCTGCTGCCAAAATGTAATTTTGGAGCCAGCCTAACTTGATTCCAAATACATACTGCGTGATAAATAGTCTAGATTTTGTGCTTATGAGATGACACGACAATGATTATGATCAGAAAAACCAAATTCAAGCAGAATTTCAAATTATTAGATCCTTCTTCTTATGATTTATATAAAACGCATAACGGACTAATAAGTCTCTTACAGATAACAGACTTTTATTACAGACACACCTATAAGTGCTATCTAACTTGCAATTCAAATGTTAAGATTGCACCAAGGCCATTTATTTTAGGGGGAAATCTTGAAAGAAGAAATTAATAACAATTAAGTCTCAGATTTTTTTTATAAAATAAGTTGTAAATATCCATTTAAATAATTTTAAATAAAGAGATTATAATTATAAATAAAAAAATTAAATTCTAAATGTAATTCTTAGTTTTATAATTGGGATTTATATTTATAATTATGTAAATGAATATTTATAAATTATTTTTTAGAAAAATAATTTGTCAAGACCTAACTATCATTATTTTCTTATTTTGGAAACGCTGTTGTCATTCTCCTTTTATTTTAACATAAACATAAATGGCTAAAAGGGGAAAAAATGATTGGGTTAAATGTGGCCAGCTAATCAAATTGAATCACACATAAATAAAAAATAACATATTAATCAGCTCAACCCTTGTATATATCAAGGAAATTTTATCCACTATATATTTATAAAGGTTTGAATGTTGATTAATATCCACGTATACTTATTCTCTTATCTTTACAAGGATTTTTTTTTTTTGGGCAAATGAAATCAAAGATTGAAATAGTTTGAAATTAACAACCCCACTCGTAAATGATAAATATTACAAGTGTATGTAATAATGAAAACCAATGTTATGTCAACATGCGCACAGCTGATAAACGCAAAAGAAGCAGCAGAGCATTTATTGGTGGTCATTTTCTATCACTCAATCAAAGTCACAAGATTAAGATTGATTAGTATATTAGTGTAACTGATTAAAAACACATTAATCATCGATCTCATGCTTATTACATTAATTAATCCCATCTATTCCATTATTTAAAGACGCCCCACCTCCCTCTTTCATTTGCATCAGCATCATCAAAGCTTAATTGATTCCTCACTCAATCCGTCTCTCTCTTGATCTCTCTATCATTCTGTCACTCCTCACATGGCTCGTTCTTTGAATCAACTTGTTTCTTTCATCTTCGTCGTCTTCCTCCTCCTTCTGGCCTCAGGTACGTAACACAAATGCTTTGTTTTGTATCAGAAATTTTGTTCAATTCATACTTCTTTCGAAGCGTTTTGTACGTAAGACAGATTTTTAATATTCATATGTAGATTGTTTTTAAAACTTTAGTATCAGAACCAAGGTTTAGGCAAAGTCCAATTGCAAATTTTTAACTTCAACTTCTATTTCACCAAAACCATGTATCACTTCTAGTTGTATAATGGAAGCATCTATTAAAAAGAAGATTTAACATTATTTTTATTCCGTTTTTAAGTATGAGTGAATTTGAATCAATATAAAATTTTTTTACATAGAATAAAATTAAATTTTATAATTAATATATAATAAAAAAATGACTCATAAATTTAAACTTTAATATTTTGAATTAAGATATAGTCTTGTTATATTAACTATTACATACAACTTTATTTAACATGAAAATTCTCACATCTTAACAGTTTATATACTATTTAGCTGCTGGGTAATATAGTGTGCATATACATAGTGAAATGATGGGGATGGGATGATTTATTTAGCAGGGATGGGGCCAAGAATGGTGGCAGAAGCAAGAACATGCGAGTCAAAGAGCCAACGCTTTAGAGGGATTTGTGTGAGGTCCTCTAACTGTGCCTCTGTCTGCCAGTCGGAGGGCTTTTCCGATGGCCATTGCCGTGGCTTCCGCCGTCGTTGTTTCTGTAGCAAACAATGCTGAGTCATTCTGAAATGTGTTCACATCTTGCCTATGGGGAAGAGAAGATCATGATGTGTGCTTGTGTGTTGCAGAATAATTTGTACCCTCCCTATATATATTGGGTACTTTCTTTTATGTAACCTATGTTCAAGTATCTTAAATCTATTACATGCTAGTATGCTACGAAATCAAATAATTTTATATCTAAAAACTTGTCCTTTTTTCATTTTTCTTTGATCTATTCAGTGAATATTGTCTGAATTTTTTTTTTTGATAAAATTGTCTGAGTTTTTTTATGTGTGTAAAAATAAATTTTACATGATTCAAATTTGAGAAAGCTTTATGCTTTGCTTGGGTCAGAACAAAAGTTGAGAAAAAAATAAAAGAGGAAATAATTTCTTCTCTATTTGGATAAAAAGGAAAAAGAGAGTGAAAACAAAATAAATAAAAGAAAAAGAATAATAGGTGGGATCCACTGTTTTCATTCTCTCAATTTCTCTTCTTGTGGCAAGAGATTTCGGCAGAAACATGTCCATTCCAGCAGTGCCCCTAAAGTATGGTTATGCTCTTCACTATTGTTTCGTCAGTCACCACCTTCATCATCCCTCATCTCTTTTCCACCCGCTGCCATTTCTCTTCTCATGTGAGAAAATGCAACACTTTCCTGTTAAAATTCCAACGGTAAAACAATGAGAAGAAGACAAGGAGATGAGGGAGAAAAAAGAAAGCTTTTATTTTTTTTTCCCCACATGATACTTTGCAAGACAAGTTTCACTAATCACTTCTCTCTTCAGTATAGATCTCCACAATCTTTTGCCTTTGTCTTCACATTTTCTTTTGGAATGGTATCCCCTCTTCTTATAACTTTCTTGAAGTTATTATCTTTTATTTTTTAAAAAAAATTATTCATTATACTTTTAAATGGAAAATAAAAAAATATTTTTTGCTAAACAATTTGATTTTAAAAATATTTTGATTGTATTAATTTTGATGTCATTCTTGCCTTCCATTTATTTTGATATGGATAAATATAGGTATATTATTGTTTGTGACATTTGTTTATTTTATTTTCTCTTTTTTTTTTTCTTGTCCACCCAAACATAAAGAATGATAGCTTTATTCCTTAAGTTTTTTTTTTTCCTTCCATTTTCTCCTCTATTTTTTTTTCCTCCTAACTTTTTTCCCTATCCAAACGGATCACTAGATTATATGTAGTTACATACTAAGATGAATATTTGAGTGAGTAAATAGCCTTATTAAAAGAGAATTGGGCTTGCGTGCAGAGTAACAAGCCAATATAATTGAGATTAAACTATTTTTCATCATGCACGATTTAAATGTAGTGTTGGGCACTTTAATCATCATTAATTATTTTTAATTGTGATGTTCAAAAATGTTTTTTCTTTAATGATCATTAAGCCATATTTAAACTGATTAAGATGTTTTTAATTGCCTCTAAACCACCCATAGTTTTTTTGCCTATATAAGCACGTGCCAGCAGTGTGTTTGGTGATGTACCTCTCTCAGTTTTTCTTTCCTTCTGAGTTCTATCTTTCTTTTTCACATTTTCAATGTCTTGTCATCCTGATTTGTTTAATCTTAGAGAGTTGCTCCAATTGATCGGTGTAATGACTATTAAAGATGACCTGAATCAAAATTTCTACATGATTTTCTATCAAAATTGAATGAATAACATATCTATGCATAACTCATAATATCTTTCATATAATAACTCATATCTCTAATTCCTAAATCCACACTTAATTTCATTTTAATTATAAATTAAAGTGGATACCTGTTACTGTTAGTGGAATGTTAAAAATGCTCAGTTTGAAATTTGAATCACATCACTAGGCATCGTTCTAAAGAACATAGCTATCCCAAGATAAAACAACCACGTATATAGTACTAGCAAATTTAGGTGATGACCAACATGCCCTTTTTTACTTAGGAAAAATAATAATAAAATTTTACTAAAATGTATAAATAACAATCAAGTCTTTTAAAATGTCATAATTTTTTTAAAATTCTTGAATAACTTTTTGAGATTAATGATTTTAAGTTAAATGATCAAATTATTTATTTATTTAAAATAAAAAAATAACAAGTTTAAATAAAAGTTGTAATTTTATTTAAAATTTTTACAATTCACAGAATAAAAGTTATAATTGCCTAAATAAAAGTTATAACTGACTATTTTTAGAATTTGAATTTCAATAATAAAAAAAATTTCATATGAAAAGTTGTGATTGCTTATTCAATATTTGTGATTCACGTAATAAAAGTTATGATTACTTAAATAAACGTTGTGATTGATTATTTAATTTTTAAAACTTGGACTTCAATAATGAAATAAATTTCATGTGAGAAATTATAATTTCTTGTTCAATTATTGCAATTCACATAATAGATATTGTGATTACTTAAACAAAAATTGTGATTAGATATTTTCATAACTTAAACTTCAATAATAAAAGAAATTTCATGTAAGAATTAGTTATTTTTATTCAATTTTTGTTGATTTACATAATCAAAAATATGACTAGGACTAACTATTTTTTAGAGCTTATTTATCAATCTTAAAATAAATTTTCAAATGAAAAGTAGCAATTTGTTATTCAATTTTTGTGATTCATTGAACAAAAATCATGATTGAAAAATGAAGCCTGACCTATTATTTTTATTTTAAATAAGGGGCAATTTAATCATTTAACTTAAAATCATTAATGTTACAAAGGTACCTAGAGACTTTAAAGGAATTATAACATTTCAAGAAACCTAATTGTTGTTTATGTATTTCAGTAGAATTTTATTGTCATTTTCCCTTTATACTTTAGTTACATGAACCTTATTTAATAATATGTGAATCACATAATTCTAGATACTCCCTCCGTTCCAACTTATAAAACACCTTTAAGAAAGATTTAATGTCCCAAACTATAAAATACTTTGATAAAAATAAAATTTCATTAATGATACTTTTTTAATATTATCTTTCTCATATATTATCTTTCTTCAACATTCTTTCATCAATGAAGTATTAAATGAATGATATTTTTAAAAGTTTATATTTATATCTTGAAAAAGTAATGTTGTAAAGTGTGTTTAATAAACTTTATTAGTGTGTGAAATTCTATTTAAAAATATCTTATAATTTAAAATAAAAGAAATACAAGAACCACGCAATACTAAAAGTCACATTCAAACCTCTAAATATTGATTACATAACATGAATCATGTATCTATATTTATTAGCTTAATTGAATTGAATTTACTGATTCATCATAATGAATCGTGAATGATAATGAAGATCAGTCAAGACTTTTCATCAGACAATGTGAACATTATCTCTTTGGAATACTCAAACTCATCAATATCCAATAAGTATGGTTGGTTGCTAACACTCACCTGAATTGAGTAATACATACATATATACATATATATATATACATATATATGTATATATATATATATGTATATATATATATATATGTATATATGTAATAATTTAAATATAGTAATTGGAGTTAGTGGTAATTCTAAGATCTGTGAGATGGTGAGGTTTAATGCATCTAAATATTAATTAGTATCAATTACCCTCTCGAAGGTTTTCCATGGTACAATTTTTTGTTAGGCAAGTTTCAAGTTTACCTAAAAGCATCTATTAAACAACTAAAGGCTTACTAATTAGATTAGATTTATTCCTAATTATCTAGGTGATTAATAGGTGAATTCATTTTAAATATCTATTATAAGTGTATGCATGTGGCAAATACATATACTAACCTTGATCTTTTTTTTTTTGGCCAAAATATACTAACCTTGATCAATTCATTTGATTTGAAAAATTTCACAAACTCACATTTAATTGAACTGAATGATCCGTCGTGTGGTATATATCTAGTTTGATTGAAAATCAATTAATACATAATCAATGACCGTAAAATTTGGATCTACATATGCAAACATTGTTCAAGAATCCTAAACCTGGATACTAATATCAACTTTTGGAAACACAACCAAATGTGGAAAATCACATTTTGGTAGAAAGCAATCCATTATCTCGTTCATCTACACTCTTTCAACGTGATCAAACATACACACTATATATGTTACAATATAAGTAATACCTAAGTGTAATGAGTCATATTTTTTCTGTGAGATTTGATACGATGAATAGTGAATATTGAATATGAATACGAATAATATGTCTAAACACAAGCATGTTTGATGCTAATATCACTCAAATAAGTCACCCTTTATAGTTTACAATCACAAAATATAGCCGTTTTAATGTCACACAAGGCTTAAAATAAAATCTCCTCATAACTTATAAATGCTACAAGTGAAAAAAGGTAAAATAAGCATATTTAAAAGAAAACTAGCATGCTTGTATGTAAAAGAAAGAATAGTAAAATGTATTTAAACGGATTTTCTGGGGGGTGATAATTTAAAATTTTGAGTTTTAAATATTAATTTAATTTAATTTAAAACAGTTTAAATTTAACATATTATTTTAAAATCGTCAATATATCATGCAATCTTAAGTATTTTTTATTTTTAAGGTTGTACAAAATTCTGCTTATTTTGAATGGAAAGAAAATCTACGCAAGCCTTAATGTAATTTTTAAATTAAAATGCTCTGTGATATATATTTTTTAACCAAACAGTTTAAATGACAGATATTTGATCAAGCAAATTTAAAATTTAAAATTTAAAATTGAACGATGACATATAAATATAAAGTAATAATTATAACTTATATTAAGAAGATTTTTTAATTTATTTATTTATAAAACAAAACTCGTGTAATAAGACCTAAAACATCTCAGGTAATTAATTAATTTATTTCTTTAATTTTCCTGATGAATTAGTATAAATAGTTTTTGTCTGAATTTCTTATTATTTCTCGGATGAAGAACAAGTTGGTAAGTTATATTTTCTCCAGTTTCTCTACGAATTTCGCACAGTGCAGTGAAACGAGCTTCGCTCTTGCGAAAACCCTAGGGGCGATCACTAGATCGAAGCTCACAGGGCTAGGATTTGGAGAGAAACAATGGAGGGAGTATTGTCCTCTAACGATCAACAGATCATGGTCAAGTCGTTCTTAGAGATTGCCGTGGGGCAAACCGCAGAGACGGCTAGACAATTCTTGCAGGTCCTTTCACTGCGAATCTTTTCTTTTGACTATCTAATCTAAGGTACTCTAAAAATGTGTTGACCTAAAAAAATGATTTCTTTTGGCTGGAAATGAATTGGGTGTGCTTGAAATTTTACTTTTAGCATATTTGCTCCTTATAGTTAACGTTTTTCCTTGAGTTGGCTGGAATATTGTATTCTACATCGTAGAGAGGAGTTTAGTGATGAAAAAAGATACTCACCACCCAGTTGCTTGGCGTCTTGGGGGCGCTTTCCTGACTGGTAGTCGAATTTTTGCATTTTCTTTACTTCTGGGGGAAGGCCGAAAACATAAGCTTATTCTGGATGACTATCTGACACAAGTGCTTTCCTGACTCGTAGTCGATTTTTTGCATTTTTCTGTACTTCTGGAGGAAGGCCGAAAAAATAAGCTTATTCTGGATGACTATCTCAGACAAGTGCTACTTTGGATTTGGATTTGTTGGATCCAGAGGCATTCCTTAGAGCATTAACCTGCAAGAAATTGAGAAATCAGGAAAATAAGTAATTATTGAAACAGATAAAGGAAGAATTATCAAGAAGTTATCTCTTAAATTGTTGAAGGATAAGTGCCTGTTTGGAGAGGCAAAATAAACAATTCTAAAAGCCCAAACCATGGTTTTGGCAAAATAAATCCAAACACCCTATTACTATCAAGTAGAATTCTGAAGAATGATGTTTGAACAGGCTACAAGTTGGAAACTTGAGGAAGCTATCCAGCTGTTTTATCTTGGTAATGACGGTGGCGCAGGGCCACAGCTATCATCATCACATAATCCTCCTGCAGAAAATGCTGATTCCTGGACGGGTCACCCTTCAAGGTAATATAGGCATTTGCTGCCAATGTTTATGTTCAAATCTTTATCATTTGTTGGTTGTTCTTAACGCTGCTCCCTTCTATTATTAATTTCAGTGAGCTGAGAAAAGATACTGCCCTTGAAAGTAGCGGTGGTGATGATGGAGATGAAGTACGCCCTCCATTACCTGTTAAGAGGGAAACCCTTTATGATGATCCAATGCTGTTTGGGTATGTTTGATTTTAATCGTCCTTTTCTCTCCTTGGTGATTAAATCCTTATATTTTGATCAAGATGTATATTCGGTGCTTTCCCATTCTTTGAATTGCATGTCTGATATGCTTTTTATATCTAAACACTGTGTTTCATGGCTACACGAAACATGCAAAACATGTTTCTATTTATTTAAATCTCACTAGACATTAAATGCTGCATTTTATATGCACCACGTGAAAGCTGCATTTTTTATCTCTCATTTTGTCTTTTGTACCTTATTGAAACGCAGCATCCTGTATTTGAAAGGATTGTATCTCACAAATGATTCCTAAGTCTTTCCCTTTATGTTAAAAAAAAAAGGAAAAAAAAAAGACAGATCGGGTGATGGAGTTCTGTTTTTTTTTTTTTTTAAAACCCCATTTTGTTCCCTTGCTGATTGGGTCTCCCAATTTGGTTTTCCATATAATTCCTTTCTCAATCTGATTCCTCACATTTAGGTATTCTATAATTTTTAATTTTACCTTGTTTAAATAGTTATTAGTAATGAAACTGATTCTTAGTCTTGTATTATATATTAATCTACATATTTGGTGACTAAGTGATTGTTACTCTAAGTGATTGTTACTCATTGCCACATCTGCCCATTTCATCCTACAGTATATTGTTGAAAACGACATCATGGATGAGAATTCATTTGTGAGAACCAGTTTTTTGTTTTTTGTTTTTTTGGGTATGATTGAGAATTAAACTGAAACCTACCCATTTATGAGGTTCCAAATTGAGAAGGAAATTTTATGAGGAACCAAATAGAGAAAGCAATTCTATGATGGGTTCAACTAAGAAGTTCCATCTGTCACGTAAAATGGGGGTTCAGTCATTTTTTTCCCGTTCAAGTATACCTGATAATTATGTTATTGTCTTTGCTTATCTTTTGTTGTGAGTCTTAACATACAATGTTGGTTCTTGTCTGTCAAATTATTCACTGAGTTGTTTTTCATGACCTTTATATAGAGTATCAAGGATGGGGCCTCGTACTCAAGAAGGTAGCTCGTTAGTTGCATTCCGTAATTTTGAAGAGGAAATGAGACGTCCAGGGGTTTGGGAGTCTGAGCAGGGCGCTGTCTCTACAGCAGAGAGTTCTAGGGACAATCTTGCTTCTCTATATCGCCCTCCTTTTCATTTGATTTTCACCGGTCCATTTGATAAGGTAAACAGGTTTCGTTGTTTGTAGTGTTTGGGTACTGCAATATAAAATATGTTATTTAAAATAAATTTATGATATTAGGATGTTGGTCAGAAGCATTGTTGGTAATGGTTGTATGCGCTGTTGCAAAAAGTTCTGCTGAAGCCTGGTCTGTGATAGACTGGGATGTAGTTGCGATGTTGTAGTAGAACTTGCAAAGAAATGACTTGCTTGCTAGTTATATGCTTAACACAAGAAGCCTCTAGTTAGATCCTGACAGAGACAGCTAAAGAAGAATTTTAGAGACTACAAGTAGTACATCATACCCGCTAAATCATTTTATGGTGCCTGTGGATGTTCTAGACTTTTCATGGTGTAACAACTAAGATTTTATTAAAAATATATCTTAATGATTCATTCGGTATATTGACGCTAGGTACTATGTTAATTATTAATTCACTTGATGACCTCCTCTTTAACCAAGACTAACCAACCAGCCTTCTTTGCAAGACAACTTACTCTATTGATGTTAATTGATGAATGCTCAAGAAGCATAGGAACGGAACCAAAAATTGAGGAATAGTGTATCTATTGGAGATTTGAGACCTATTATGTGATGGCGAATGGCTTTCCGACAGTCAATTATCCATCAATTTCATGTAGAAGAATTTCATTTCTTTGGTCTTAGATGAAGTAGAATCCAATTGAAGTTGAAACCAAACTGTTTCATTGCTCAACTTAACTATGATAATTAGTTATCAATGTATCCAAATCATTTTGGGTTCATCCATTTTACAAGACAGAACGAAGAAGTCAGTTGTCCATGGAACATGTTGGAAATCACATTTTACCTGTGATTATTCTCAAACTATTGCCTTACTTTGTTTCGTCATGTTTGCCAGTGAGTGGGCTATGATTCTTGGTCAATTAGTGTGGACACTGGAGTTTCTTCATAAGGATCACATGGTTTTTTATGGTTAATATGGTGGAATCAAATGCTTATTTTGGCAATAGTTTCCTGTTTTATGATTTATCATTTTTATATGTTCACGTTTGTTTCTTTTTGAGGGTGTTGGCTGAATATTCTATATCCTGTGTTTATTGTGTCCAGTGTTTTTGACATAAAATGTGAGCTCACAAGGCCTGAATGACAAAATACATTGGTGGTCAGCATGAGAGAATCTTAATCTTATTTTATGGTTATTGTGAGGAACCAAAGACCTATTCCCAAAGATTTAAGGTGAGGATCTCCAAAACCAATACCCTCTCTCCAAAATGGATTGAGGATGGGAAACAACCATGGAGATCCGGAAGTGAAAATGAATCAATGAAAAAGAATAGAAATGCTTAATGGACTGTGACCCTTGGGTGTTTAGTGGGAAGCTGATAGGATCCAAGATGGGTAGAGAGAAATAAGGAAGATAAATCTCTATTAACATATGAAATCAGAATCGAACTTCATAATATTAATAAGAGAATGTAGAAATGATAGAAGAAAATAGAATAAATCTATCAAGATAATATAAAACAAAAATCTCGTTTTATATTTCTTTCAATAGCCACGTTTATGAGAATTTTCAAAGGACCAAAAGCCTCAGAAGTCTGTTGTATTCATAATATGCCTGCTATTGAGTTGGTGAGCATATTTATAATGCTAAATACACTCTAAAATAATGAATAAAATCTAGAGAACTAAATAGTTAAATAAAACTGAAAAAAAATCTCCTAAAAATCTATATCTATATAAAATGCTGAATAAAATCTAAAGAATTAAATATCTGAATAAAATCTAAACAATTAGATTTCTTGATAAATGTTTAGATATCTAAATAAAATCTAAACAATATTATTAAATAGAAAATGTATAAAATAAAATAAAAGAAAACAATATTTATTCCTAATATATCTCTAACTTCTCAAATTATCCATTATCCCACCATAATCGGTACTCTATCAATACTTCCCCCTTGAAAATTCGCCTTGTCCTTAAGGTGAGACATAGGCAATAGCTAAATAAAATGTAGATATCTAGATATCTAAATAAAATCTAGATAACTAAATATCTAAATAAAATCTAAACAATATTATTAAATAGAAAATGTATAAAATAAAATAAGATAATATTTATTCCTAATACATCTCTAACTTCTCAAAATATTCATTATCCCACCATAATCAGTGCTCTATCAATACTTCCCCCTTGAAAATTCACCTTGTCCTCAAGGTGAGACATAGGCGGCAATAGCTTTCTTCTGCATCTGGAGGTTGAGATGGGAGTGAGAGATAAAGGGCAGCAACTCCAATGTGGATTCCAAAAGGTAGAACAAGAGGTTGCATGGAAACTTCAAGGATAAAGTAGCAGTTAGACCTACCATCCACCAAGTTTAGAACCTTGTGCTCAAAGAAGGTCTCCTGAAGCTTCATCATTGTTGGAGCAGCGTTTCCTAAACCTGCAGGAAATGAATTTGGTTGGCTTTGATTTGTTTGCTTGGCACAATTGGTGGTGCCCTAATGTTGGAATTAAAGACATCAAGGAGGGCTGTGATGTAAAGGAATAGGTGCCTTTCATAAAGTGAGGAAAAATGGTTAGCTAAGGAAGTGCATGTTGAGATAGGCGGTGATGGTGAAGTTGTAGAAGTAGTGTAGAGGTGGTAGGAATCCATTAAGGATTGAACGACTTTGATACCAAATGATAGGATCCAAAATGGGTAGAGAGAAATAAGGAAGATAAATCTCGATTAACAGATGAAATTAGAATCTAACTTCATAATATTAATAAGAGAATGTAGAACTTATAGAAGAAATTAGACGGAATAAATCTATCAAGATGATATAGAACAAGAATTTTGTTCTATATTTCTCTCAATAGCCACGTTTAGGAGAATCTCCAAAGGGTTAGAGATCTCAAAAGTTTGCTGTATTCATGATATGGTTGCTTTTGAGTTGCTGAGTATATTTATTGTGTTAAATACAATCTAAAATAATAAATAAAATCTAGATAACTAGATAATTAAATGAAACTGAATAAAATCTCCTAGAATCTATATCTATATAAAATACTGAATAAAATCTATAGAACTAAATATCTGAATAAAATCTAAATAATTAGATATCTAGATAAATATTTAGATATCTAAATAAAATCTATATAACTAAATATCTAAAAATCTAAACAATATTATTAAATAGAAAATGTCTAAATAAAATAAAATAAAATAATATTTATTCCTAATATATATTTAACTTCTCAAATTATCCATCATCCCACCATAATCGGTGCTCCATCAGAAGCTCCTTTTAACTTGGGTTTTTGTTGTTTAATAGACTGAAGTCAAATGCTTTTTCCCCCTTAAATAGTTTTCTGCTATTTGATTATTTATCATTACTTGTGTTAATGTTTGTTTCCTATTGAGATGATTGATTGAAGGTTCTCTGGCCCACATTCTCCTATAAATTGTAATGATTGTGTTTGAAATAAAAAGAAATTTTAGAGTGAAATTCTCCCCAAGAAAAGGATAAAGGATTTCATGAAATTAGACAGGAAAAGATAAGCTATCATACATTCCCGATAATGATATTGATATGGTTAGGGTGATTGGGTTGATTGGCCGTTCTGTAAAGGTCCTGTTAAATTTTAGGATTAAAGCAGGACTATGGTGACTCAGAAGGCTAGGCTTCCCCTCGCTCACTGTCTCAGCCTTCCAATTTATTATATTTATATTGTTTTGGAATTAGATATTAATTTTATGATATACGATATGTTATTCCTAAGTTTGACTGATAGTGGATTCCGAAGCGTCTAGATTATGATAATTTTCTAATCCTACAGGAGCCCTCTTTTATATGTATGACTTGTATTTGGAGAATTGGTGGTTTTCTCAAAGTCCCATATGCATTTTGCTGATGAGGTTTTCTTGGATTTACACTCCTATTTATTCTAATTCCTGACATCAATGACCGATCAATTTGTGATTGATGAAGGCTAATGTTGAGGCTCTTGTAACGTTACCACATCATCTCATCTGGTTCATGGCCTAAAACTAGCATTGGTTTCATTGGTACCTCATTAATTGGCCCGTGTGTATCATGTTCAAGACTAATCTCAATTACATGAGATTGTGATATAATTTTTGGACGCTCTGTTGAATATCTCTTGTTCTATAAACGGTCTCTTAATAGTCAAATGCTCAGAGCTATTCTTATTACTATGGCTTTTAAATGCAGGCAAAAACGGCTGCTTCAACAGAGGACAAATGGCTTTTAGTGAATATACAATCTACCAAAGAATTCAGCTCACATATGGTATTATATTTTTGGTGCTTCCTCTATTTATAAAGCATACTGCTCAACACACAATGCATATTATCATTGGCTGATTTCTATGTTGCTTTGTGAAGCTTAATCGAGATACTTGGGCCAATGAAGCTGTCTCTCAGACCATTAGCACTAATTTTATATTCTGGCAGGTCAGTTTGTTGCTTTGTTTTCTTCAGTGCTGTGGTGTGTGATATTTTCCCATTTTTCATTCAAGTCCTATTTCACACCATGCTATTATTCGCACCCCCACATTCAAGAAAAAAAAAAGGAAAAATTATGGCTCGTCATTATCTTGAAAAAAATGATATAGTTAACTCTTCAGATGGATTGATTTATTCATGTGACTCGTAAGGCTTGCAGTGCTAAACCATATGCTCTTCCATGATTATATCTGCAGTCTTTTCAGACTGGTCATGTGGTGAAATGGAAGAGCAGAAAAATGAAAAGAAAAAGAAATGGGCTAGTGTAACATTTTATGGTTGGCAGTCATGAAGGAAGAGCCATAGATAACCATAAACTAGTATGCCCTTTGGGACAAGTTACAACATGTGATGGTCTAATCTACTCTTTCTCTCATATCTTAGCTGGGATCATCTTGATCCTCATGGTTGCTATTGGAGGAAAGTTTTGGAGAGGACCAAACTGGAGTGTACAAAATAGTTTTTGCTTTTTGTGGTCCAGCCTAGTTTTCCCAATACTATGACTTGTCTATGTCACTTGGAGTTTTTACCTGCAAAAAAGATTGTGATATTGAGTAACGCATTTGTCCAGGCTAGATTGGAGTTTAGACATGTGTGTCATGTTTCCTGGTTTAATCTTATTCTGATGTTTGCCTGTTATTTTGAGCATAATATTTGTGCAATCATGTTGTTAGTAAATTTAAGTCATGCAGTTCTACATTGTCAAATCATTCTTTCTGTGAGCATAGGTTTACGATGATACAACTGAAGGCCGAAAAGTATGCACTTATTACAGACTGGATTCAATTCCTGTAGTGCTTGTAATTGATCCCATCACTGGCCAAAAGATGCGTATCTGGTCTGGAATGGTTCAGCCTGAAAGCTTATTGGAGGTATGTGATACATGGCAGCTTCTGATGGGAAGGTTACACGAGAAAATTATGGGGAAATAGTTGCACTGTTTAATTTAATTTTGAACTCTACCTTTGATTTGTTTCTTTGCTGATTTGATAATTCAACTGTTATTTTAGGGTCTGCTAGCATTCCTGGATGCAGGCCCTAAGGATCATCACAATACTTTATCTCACAAACGTCCAAGAGAAAGTTCCAGCCCACCTAAAATTAAAGGTCTTGTAATTTTCTAGTTGTATTTATTCACTCAATCTTAGAATTAACTCTTATTGTTAAATTTTGTTCTCATTTTTCTGTAGGCTTTATTTACATATGAACAATATGTATAACTGACACCTGCAATGTCTTTCAATTTGATGCGCCTTTTCCCTTTTTGTTCATGCTGTATTCTTCTTATCATTTCTTTTTGTTTTTGTATTTGAGGGTGTTTTCCTGTTATTCCTCTTCAGTGTTGAATTTATCGTGATAGTCTTGCTATAGTTGTCATCATCATGCTAGCATATTTGACAATTCATTCTGGTTTTATTCAGATGAAAGTAATGAAGATGAGGAAGTGTTAAAAGCTTTGGCACTTTCAATGGAAGGCATGAAAGAATCAAGTGTATTGGCTGGAACAGATAAGGATGCTGAGTCTGTTGACCAGGGACAAGAAACTGGCTTGCCTTCAAGGCCCACATACCCTCCCCTGCCTGAAGAACCCAAGGGTGATAAGAACCTCCTATGCAGAGTTGGTGTCCGGCTTCCTGATGGATGCCGAGTTCAGCGTAACTTTTTGCGCACTGATCCAATTCAGGTAAACTTTGTTTTCTTTTAAACCTGTAGGATTTCATTGGATTGTGCTGCTATGTTCTTGTCATGGTTGTTCCAATGCTGATTTTATATGACTGTTGATGTGCATTTCCTTTCCTCCCGGACTTCTGGATGTCTTGTGCTCTTGTTTTGGATTATGGCATGCAAGACTGCTATTAAAAATGACTATTACGGATGTGAACATATCTTCAATTGTTTTATTATGCACACAATTTGACATGACATATTACTATTTTCAGATATATGAATTATCATACGAACTGCTGCTGGACTATCAACTGCCAAGTGTAGTTTTGTGCTTGTGAAATACGGGCATATGTTCCATGCTTGGTTATTTTCTATCGGCCTTGGGAAGAGAGAACTTACCAGAAGGATGCTTTTATTTTCTTTTTCTTTCTTTCTTTGTTGTCGTACGAGCCAAAAGAAGTGAAGCCTGGTCGGTCCATGACCACCTTCAAATTTCAACATCTAAAATGAGCTTGTGCTTGGAATTGTCAATTTCATTAACATAGTTGAAGTTACTTGGTTGGGATTGCCACAAGTTTATATGCCTTTCATTTTTCTTATTACTCGTGTATTTTGAGCTTCAGAGGTCTTCGGTCAAAACCTTCATTTGTCTTCATTTATTGGGCTTGTATTCTTAAACCTTAGATGCCTTAGATCCAGTATTCTTTGGGGTCCCAGTTGGTGTGGTGCCTATGTCTTTTTGGCTCTGGTACATGTATGAAATTAGAATCTTGTTTCTCATTCAGTTTATCCCAGTAGAATAGGTTACAAAATACAAGGCCAAGATAGCTATCAGGTCTCTGAGTCGTGTAACAACCAGTAACAAAATGAATTCAAAAGATATTCTAATCAAATCTAATTCTGTGAGATAGGAAAGGATATCAATAAGAAATAGCTAGATTAGTCAACTAATGGACCCAAACAAATTTGTCATTGTGTTGGTTGTATATTTCTTGTTCTGTAAAACTTTCATGAATGGCTCTTGCTTTGCACAGCTTCTGTGGTCATTCTGCTCCGCTCAGCTAGGGGAAGATGAGATGAGGCAATTTCGGTTGACACAATCAATTCCAGGAGCTTCCAAAGTGCTGGACTATGGAAGTAATGCGACTTTAGAGGAATCAGGGCTTGCAAACTCTATGATCTTGATGACATGGGAATGAATCCAGATTTTTGGGTGACTTCGCTGGAAAAGTCAGACTGGGGAGCTTCTGTTTGGTGGTTCCTACTTATATAGCTATATGTTTTTCCTTCTTTGACATGGGTTCGTGTTCAAAAGGTAAACGGGAGTCTTAATTAAACTCTCATGTGTATATACTCTGAATGAAGGCTAAGATCAATGCCCCTATATCATTGCTTAATTATTTCCCCCTTTTTGTTTGAGGATATCTTAAAATTAGAGGAACTTGTAAAGAGAGAGGCTTTTGAAAGTTTGGTTATATTCATCATCCTCTAATCCTTATTAACAAGTCAAATAAGGAAATTGAAAATCCAGCAAGACATTTATCTTGCAATGGAACATTTCTTCCTTGTTCTGCCCAATTAATAATTCATGCAGGGTAACCTTCAATGACTACTCTCTATTATTGCCCTTGACATGTTGAAAGTCTCTTTCTTTTTCTTTGGAAAAAAGATCAAATTATTTTGTTATTTCCCTTTCAATTAAAGTATATAATTTATATTAAGTTGTACTATTTGGATTGTATGAGGTGAAATATATAATAAAAACAGGGTAGGTTATATTTTTGGCCTCATACTTGATAATCGATTTGGTCCTGTGGTGTACCAGCTTGAAGTTGAATCCTTACCTACCATGATACTTCATTTGTAAAAGATGAATGAAATAGGAAGCTTCCATGCTGATGAAATTAAGCAATGCATCAACGTACAATAATTAGAGGTGAATTAATTAATTAGCGGAGCTGGTTTGGATGTTAATGGGAATTGCAAATAATTTAAGTCCTGTGATATTACTTCAGACTTTTTCTGTTCAATGGCCCCTTGTCACCTCACCGAATCTTGAGAGAGAATATTTTAGAAAGGTACAGAAATGGAGACATCCTTTTTAGCTTTGAACCATCTCAAATTGCCTACAATACAAGTTTGCTTTGTTATTATATTTAAATTAAATAAGGGGGTTTAATGCTTACAAATAATTCAAATTTGTGTTTAAATAATAGATATATACTGGGTCTGATCAATGATGTTTTAAAAATTGGAGTCATTTGACCTGTATGAAGATTAAATGGCTCAAAATTTATTGATTGGATTGAGAAGCAAATTGATCATAATGAACTTAATGTATATTTGACAAAATGTTGGCATAATATTGGTGGAAGAGGTATTTTTGGAGGCGGGAAAAAGGGCAAGTTAGGAAAACAAAGAGGAAGACTGCCAAAAGTTGTTAGGCCGTTATGTCATTCTGGTGACCTCAATACGTTCCATTTCCAATATTCGCTGCATCACCTTTATGCTGCTAATGCATCACACTACAGTGAAAATGGATCTCTTTGATATTTTAAAGATATATTCTGATCTCTGCGGGCGCGCGCGCGCCGCGTGAGAGAGAGAGAGAGAGAGAGAGAGAGAGAGAGTTTATGTCAGATTCAAATGGTGTAAATTATATGAAGACCTATACTTTGAAATCTGAATTACAATTCCATGACTTACACAATGTATAGCATTCGTCACTTTGCCTTGTTTCATAATTTTTTTCCTGAGTTTGTTTTCTTAGGTGCATGCTAGTGCTGTGCAAAAATCCTCTAATTTAAGTGGTGGTATAGCCGAGCCATTCCTTTTTAAAAATCAACTGAGCCAATCAAAACCAATAAAATAAACAAATCCATTCGCCGAGCAAAAGGAGAGAGAGGGATTCGAACCCTCGATAGTTCTTTGTTTCGAATTATACCGGTTTTCAAGACCGGAGCTATCAACCACTCAGCCATCTCTCCAAAAGATTATTTCTATTTTATCGTTATTCCACCGAATAGAACATGACGATATGAGTTAATACCCTTTCTATATATTGGAAAGATATCTGCTATGGGTCTATTTTTCTCTGACCCAATTTAACATGAGATGGTCCTGTCCTATTCGGTCCTTATAAATACTGATCTTTCATGATCAAAAAGATTGAAAAGATTAAATTATTTCTTTGGATTAGGCTAGGCAGAAGACTATGCATCTGGACCACTTAGTCTAGTCTAGTCCTATTATTGTATTTAATATAATTGTAATTAATTTATTTTTAATAAATTCTTCAAGTGTAATTGATGTTAAGGAGATAATTGCATGAAAATTTATTGAGTTTATTTCTAAATTGTTGTAATGTTATGTTATTGAAGTTTGTTAAGTGTTGTTTTTGTTGAAATTACAAATTTAAATCATTTGAATTGTAATTGAAATTTTTTTTCTTCTTGTTGAAAATTATTTTGGATTTATTATGATTATAAGTGATTTTATTATCTTAATTGAATTTATTAGATTGAAATGGATTATTGTCTTTCATAAAAAAAAAAAGAAAAAAATAGCTAAGTAAGTACTAGACTAACGGGATCAGTCTTCGAGTCCTATGACCAAGTTTGATCCTATTAATCTTTGATTTATCACTAAACAAGATCAAATTATGAGTTTCTTAACCTAGTTTTTTTTATGAAAGAGACCAGACTTCGAGTTAGGTTAAAGTTCAATGCCGTCTAGTCCTTTGCGTAGCTTTAATATATACCTTTACATTAAAAACTATGTTACAATTATTTGTGTTTGTGTTATATAAATTTCTATAGGGTTAAGGGATAAAAATATCCGATAAGTTTTTTAAAAGAAATATTAGGTACCCTTACCTTTCAATTAAAACAATTTTGCCCTAAAACTTTCAAAAAGATAGCAATTTCGTCCCACCGTCGTCTCAAGCTCACGTTGACTGTTAAATAAGGTTGTTCGACCAAGCAAAATAACAAGTGATCCAACGTGGATGACATGTCAGACCCAACTCACACACCTATTCATCTTCTCATTCTCCACGAGCGGTTAGTCAACCCCTCTCCACATTTCTCCAGCCATTGTCCCTTCCTCCCAACCTTCCGTCGAGATTCTTCACCCACGTCGCCATGAACTCGTGCACCAATGCCACTGAAGACCTTTGAATTCGTCGCTGCACAACTAGATCGGGCCACCTAGGTTGCTGCCGTTGAGATGGTGTCTAGTTGGTTTAGTGCTCTCCTTTCTAGTTGGACTTGCCGGACCTCAAGGACGTGGTCTAAACTCTTTTCCGATACTCAGAAGGGAAGAACACGTATGGGGAAAATGAGGCTAAGTTGGATAGTGATTAACCCAAAGGGATAGTACGCGGCGAATGTTCTGAGCCCGAAGCCAGTATCAACGAAGTGGCGATGGCTTCGATTTTTGAAGTGGGTTTGGCTTTTGGTTTTTAACCTACTTGAATTGGGTTTGATTGTTATTGAACTGGATTTGATTGTTTTTAACTTGTTTGAACTAGATTCGATTGTTTTTAACCAGCTTGAATTGGTTCGATTTTAGTGTTCTGGGTTTATTTTTTAGCCTAGTGTCTGCTTCCTTAAACTGATTTTATTTTTGCTTTCTTGAACTCTCTAACTCATTTTGAATGTCTGTTTCTCCTTCGTTCTCTCTTATATGAAACTGAAACTAGATATGAAAAGTTTGAGATTAATTTTTTTTTATTGGTTGATTTTTCTTTAGAAATTAGATATGAAGCTTGAGTTGGGTTTTGAATACTTGATTACGAAACCTATCGTGAATGACAATCTATTAATGACAGTTGAAAAAATGGATGGGGTTTTGGGTTGATGAGATGGATATTGCAGAGAACTCAAGGGAGAAGGGTGGATTTGTTTTTTTTTTTTTTTCCTTTTTTAAAAAATGCCAGGTGAGTGCCACATAAACACATAAAGTTAAAGTAACGGTCAACAGACGATCACACTAACAACAGGGTGAAATTGTTCCCTTTTTTTTTTAGGTTTAGAAACAAAATTATTTCAACTAAAAAATAAGGATATTTAATATTACTTTTAAAAAACTTCAGGGATAATAAACAATCACCAAATGGTCACACTAACAACAAACAATCACACTAACAATAGGGTGAAATTGCTCCCTTTTTTTGAAGTTTTGAGACAAAATTATTTCAATTAAAAGGTAACGGTATTTAATATTATTTTTAAAAAACTTCAAGGACATTTTCTCCCCTTAATATATCTTTATATATTGTAAAGCTTGATGAGATTCACTATTCATCTATAGTATTTTGAATAGTAAACCTCCATCAATTTTTTTACTGGTTATTTTTTTTAGATTTTATTTTTATATTATTAGGAGAATTCAAAAGAAGGGGGCTTATGATGTACTCATAATTGAAAAAAAAAAGAAGATAGTAAATGTGAGACTACAGCAAAAATCCTTGAACTTTGTCTTTTAAAAAATAAAATTTAAAACTTTTATTTTTTTTGGTCAAATGCTTATATAACTTTAAAATTGATTACATAATTTTTTTATTTTTTTTATATGATTGGGAGAAGTTGAAAGAATGTAGATTAATTTTTCCTTAAGTTCTAAAATAAAAAAAATTATTTTTAATAATTTTATATAAAAATATTGTTATTTATTTATTCTAATTAGCAAAAATAAGTGCACCAAAATTAAATATATAATCATTTTTATTTTCATCATTACAGTTAATAATTTTTAATTGCTTATACAATTCTATATGACTATATCACACATTTTGAACGTTATTATTTTGATAAAATTATCACATTAATATTTATTCAATTTTTTTTTTTTTGCGTTGTTTGGTTTGAGGGTAATGGACAGAGGGGAGAGATGAGATTTGCATAAATTTGTTTTTTTAAAAAAAAAAGAAGTGAAAGTTTTTTAATTGGTTTTCCTTTCTTTTTCATCTTACATTTTCTTTGTATTAAATTTATAACACCACTTGTCTTTTCTTTCAAAATTGAAACCACTAAAATCTTCTCTCACTTTTCGTAATCAATTTAAACTCTTTCATACAAGATAAAGGATTAATTTTCCGTGCGATGCACGGGTATAAAACCTAATTACAAAAAATAATTTTCATGAAGCCATGAAGATATATATATATATATATATATGTATATATATATATATATGGGGTTCAAATCACTTTTCAAGTAAAGCACTTATTAGTTCCTTGCATCCAAATGAAAAGCCGAATTGTGAACCATAGTACACTCATTGTTAAAATTAATTAATGATCTTGACCACTTAAATCAATGTAAATGGTTTAGTGGATTGGCTTGGCACCATTACTGATTGTTGTAGTGAGATTTGGATCATTGAAATTTAATCTCGTCCATTCATATTTAAAATTTTTAAACCGTAATTTTTTATATGATAAATTTATTTTTTTTAAAGTGCCAGCATTAAAATTATC